GCCCGGAGCGCCCAGCTCTGTCCCTGCTCTCTTGACTGTCTTCGGTCAAGGCCCTTCGTCCTCTCCCTTTGATGGATGATGAGGGAATTGGGACAGAGGGATCCAGTTGGACTTGGTCACGCAGGCTCATCTGCCACCCGGGAGGTTTCCCAGGGTCCTCTGCAACCAGAGCCAGCGCTGGGATTCTCGGAGGATGTGACATGGGACAAACTCTTGAGTGCCGCACGCTCCCTCCTGCTGCTTGAGGCCATGGAGGAAACCTCCGTGGAGGAGGAGAACTCCTGGAGATCCAGCTTGCAAGAGCCCGGCCTACGGATCTGGCCCTCGAGAAGCGCCTTCCATGGCAAAATCCTGCTGCGAACTACTCGAGCGCTGTTATTAGAACGACTTTTTGTTTCTTTTTTTTAAAAAACAACTCCCTCCAATTGTCTCGTTTCCTCAGAAATGCACCCGGCTCTCGTGAATGCCGGCACTGGAGGCAGTGCGAGGTCGGCCGCGCGTTGTGGCACGCGGTGCCACCTCTCCAAGGACCAGCAAGACGAGAGTCCCCACAGGAGCTCCGTGCTTCAGTTTGTGCTTAAACCCTGTGGCCTCCCAGCGGGCCTGGCCATGTCCCTGGGGCTCTGTGTCCCCTGCTGTCGCTGCAGTCACAGCTCATCTGGTTGTCCTGGGGCAGGTGGGTGTCCGGCGCTGCCCGTGGGACACGCGCAGGTTGGACGTGAGTTTCCCTGACCCCAACGAGCTGCTGGATCATTGTTTGCATCTCGGAAAATCCCTTTAGTGGTAGCTGTGCGGCCCACGTGCTCCGAGCTTTCTGCCGTCGGGATGAGGAACCTCACAAGTCCTCAAGCAAGCGCAGAGCCACGTTTGTGGCAGAGGGTGGCTTTGTGACACTTGTGACACTCAGAGCAGCTGGAAGAACCCATGCCTGTGGGTTGCGAGTTTGGAGCTCCAGCTTTGGCCTCACCACATCCCGGGCTCCTCTTTTTTGGGGCTTTCAAGGTGTTTTTCTCTTGCTCTGGGTTCCTCCCTGGCTTCCCAAGTGTGGAGCACATGGAGCAAACGCTTTAAGTGGCCACCCTCAAGGCCCACTGAGATCGTGCAGGCTGCCAGCTCATCCGGGATGCCCGGATTCACTTCCAAGAAGCTTCCCTGGCTGCAGGGACATGCTGTTTATTCCTCCTCTTCCCCAGCTTCGTCTTCCCTCCATTTGCAACCTCTTTGGACGGGGACCTCGGCGCGTGCGTCGTGGGGCTGCAGCGCCGCGTCCCGCTGGTGACACAGATCCCTCCAGCAGCCACACGATGTTTTGCTGGACAGCAAAGCGAGGTGGCAAATAAGTTGCCTCTTGCGAGTTTTGCCCCTCGCATGAGGCAGCCCTGGGGTGTTCTCTGTGTCGCCGTGTGGGGTCAGCAGTGGTGGCCTTTGCTCTGGACTCCCCTCGGGTTTTTGTCCCCTTAGGGCTGCAGGGAAAACATGTCACGGCGGCTGGTGAGCTCGCGAACTAGATGCAGAGAAAGCAAAGAGAAAGAGCACCAAACCCAGAGACCCCCTCTTGGGGCCTGATGCGGTCCCAGGGTGTCGCTTTGTCCCCGTTAGGGCACTTGGGGGACGGAAGCTGCTCACGTTTGCTGCTTGTTTTGCTTCCAACCTCCCGGGTTGGGGCACTCATGGGCTCCTTTCGAGGGCACCGCTTGCTCTGGAGTTGCCTCTGCCAAACTCCAGGCCAGTTTTCTGTTGTTTTCTCTTCTCCCTTTTTCCCCCCAAAGCGAGGGAGATGTTGGCTTTGTCTTGCTCTGCGTCGGTTTCGAAACCGGCCTACAGCCACCGCGACCTCCCAGCTGCCGGGGCTGGAGCCGCTCCGGGCCGGAGGCTGCCCGGGCCCTTCCTGAGGTCGGAGGCAGAAGGGCCACTGAGTCCCTCTTTGCCCTGTCTGGGCCGGCCTCCGAGTGCTCACAGGAAGCCTCATTTATTAAGACTAAAATTTATTTTTTCCCTTGCTGCTGGGGCTCTGTCTTGCTCCATGGGCTGGAATTCCCTGGACCAAAAGGCCATTAAAGGGGAAAAAAAGCTGCAGTGCTGGGGCCGGAGCTCCCTCCACCCCGGCCAATGGCCACTGCCTTGGCACAACCTAACTGCGGCC